GTAGTTTGGTTTTTTTAAAGATTTTATTTATTTATTTGACAGAGAGACAGTGAGAGAGGGAACAGAAGCAGAGGGAGTGGGAGAGGGAGAAGCAGGCTTCCTGCTGAGCAGGGAGCCTGATGCAGGGCTCGATCCCAGGAGCCTGATGCGGGGCTCGATCCCAGGACCCTGGGATCATAACCTGAGCCGAAGGCAGCTGCTTAACGACTGAGCCACCCAGGGGCCCCACATTAGTAGTTTAAAAGCATTGAGAAGTCTGTAATTAAACAGAAAAAGAAAACTTATTTAATTTTGTTTAATGTGGCATTTCCTAGACATTTTTTAAAAATTTATTTTTAAAAAATTGTATTAATATATAACAAAATTTACCATTTTAACCATTTTTAAGAGTATAGTTCGGTGACATTAGGTACATTCACATTGTGCAACCATTTCCACCATCAGTCTCCAGAACTTTTTCATCTTTCCAAACTTAAACATACTATTATAAATACTCCCCATTCCCCTGGCATCCACCATTCTACTCTCTGTCTCTATGAATTTGACTACTCTAGGTGCCTCATATAAGTGGAATCACACAATATTTGTCTTTTTGTGACTTATTTCATTGAGCATAATCTCCTCAGGGTTCATCCATGTTGTGGCATGTGTCAGAATTTTCTTCCTTTTGAAGACTATTGTATGTATATACCACATTTTGTTTATCCATTCTCTACCAGGTATTTTTAATGACTGTAGTATTCTGTTACATGCGTATGTCATGATATACTCATCACTGATGGATGTATATGTTACTTTCAGATTTTCAGTATAATAAACAATCCTGAGATAAATATTTTTGCATAGTTATCTCCTAGGGGCAAATCCTACAAGTAGGGTTTCCCAAAAGGTACTCATTATACTTTGATAGATGATACCACATTACCCTCTAAAAAGTCTCAATTTTCATTCCTTTTTACAGTGCATGAGAGGGCTCCTTTCTCTGAACCCTGCCAACGTTATGTTTTAAAAATCTTTGATCTTCACACAACTGATTAGAGAGAATAACTTGTTTTCATCTGTGTTTGGAATGTCTTTGTCCTAGAAATCAAATCTACCTTCAAATGATAATTTGCTGCTCTTAAAGTGATTTAAAACATTCTTTCAGTTCTGAAAAGTAGTGTTGGGATAAGTTGATAGTGTTCCAAGGTGACAGGTTTTTGGTTTTTTTTTTAGGATTTTATTTATTTATTTGAGAGAGAGAGAGAGGCTTGATCCCAGGACGCTGGGATCATGACCTGTGCTAAAGGCAGACACTTAACCCACTGAGCCACCCAGGTGCCACCCCAGGTGACAGTTTTGAAAGGCATATTGAAGAGAAGCTCTTGTATCTGTATTAATGGAAAAAAGACAATCCTTTCTTTATAATCACACTACACATGACATGCTCATAGATGACTTATCTCTACAACAAAATTACATAGTCCTTGGAAGTCAGACCGCAACTCTTACTGAATTTCTGCCATGTGTAAGATGCTTTGTTGCCAGAAGGGATGTGGTGGTGTGTCTCCTGTCCCTGTGGAACTTACAGCCTAAATCCTCCAGTACATGTCATGGTTGGTGGAAGGCACATTTCCCAGGGCACACTTCTTGGAATTCCCTATCAGAATTGGTATTGAATAATATTTGTTGAGTGAATCATTCAGATTCCTCATTGTATGAAGTCGTAGTATACCAATAGAGAAATTGTCTGCTCCTGTTGGGGATTTGGGGGCCTCTGTTCTACAAGGATAAAGTTAGGGACTTGGTGTGTGCCTTCAGAAGTATTTGCCCGTAACTCTTTTCTTCATAAGAGGTGATGGAGCAGATCTATTTAACTAAAAAATATATATATATATATATATATATACACATATATATAAATACATACATACATATATATGTGTGTGTATATACACACACACATATGTATATTCTGTTGAGGGTAGTTAAGTATACTTTTGTTATTTGCCCTTTGCCATTTGACTTGTTGGTGCCAGAACACCCATTAAATGTGTTGGTTCTCACTGAAGCCCTTGTTTTTTGCAAGGGAGAGTTATTCAGTATGAAATTGAAAGCACCTGTCCCCTCTGCTAGCACCTAGTTGCCTTACTCTCATGGGGGAGACCCAGTGATTGCTACGAGGGTGTTGGCAGTTTTGACCATCTGTGATGCTATGATTTTGTTACAAAACAAATATTCTCATTTATAAGTAATTCCATGATTGTATACATCTCTTTGTGGTTTTATAAGTAATTCTTATTTTACAAGTGAAATTTAAATGCTCCCCTTTAATTCTGTAATGTTTTCTGATTAATACACTTAAAATGGTAGGCTGACATTAAAATTTCTGAGACTTGGAGGAATCTCATTATATTAGGAAATACAGTAGGACTATGTTAAGTTATAAACTTTTTTAAAAAAAGATTTATTTGTCAGAGGGAGCAAGCACAAGCAGGGGGAGCAGCAGGCAGAGGGAGAAGCAGACTCCCCGCTGAGCAAGGAGCCGGATGCAGACATAATCCCAGGACCCTGGGATCATGGCCTGAGCCGAAGGCAGATGTTTAACCAACTGAGCCACCCAGGCATCCCTAGGTTATAAACTTTTTGATTCTGGGGTGCCTTACCTTGGCATTTCCCATTAGCCTCAGTGTAAAATAACTACTCAGTAAATACATTTGAAGGAAAAAATGAAGATTAGTGTAATTCATTTGATTAGAGAGGTTCCTCAGTTAAACTTTCTCTTAATCTCAGTATCTTTAAGAGTACCAAGTGATGTAAGTAGAATGTTACTAGACAAAAATTTTTAAAAGCTCTGTTGGTTATAATGATTTATTAACTAGATTTCCTCCTATGTTCCATTTCTAGAAGAAACAAATGACAAGAAAATCTGGTGTTGTAGGCCTTTCTAAAAATAAATACCTTCTAGGACTGTCCAGCTTTCATGTTCCTTGCATCTCATAATGATTTGAGGAGGAAGGTGACTCAGGTGACCTGTAGAGTCCTCTCTCAGAAAGGAAGCACACATTTATTTTACATGCTGTGTACTTACTAAAGAAGGACGAATGTTGATATATTTTAGGATTACATTAAACAAGAATCGAAAGCTGAAGTTAGCAGTGATTATTTTCACCGTCATCATTGTTATTCTTAATAGCAGCTAATATTTAATTATGGGCCAGGTGCTCTTTTGAGCACTTTTATCTTCTATATCCTGTCATTCCTGGAGTCCCGTTTTATTAATGAAGAAAGAAAACAGGCTCAAAGAGGTTAAGGTTATTTTGACCAAAATCACAGAGCGAGCAAGTGGTAGGGTCAGGATTTGAACCCATTTCTACCTGTCGGTCCTTATCCTGACCAGTGTACTCTAATACAGTACTCTAATACAGTAGTCCCCCCTTCATCTGCAGGCGGTGAGTTCCAAGACCCGTAGTGGATGCCTGAAAAACCGTGGATGGTACCAAACCCCATGTGTACTATTGTTTCTCCTACACATACATAGCTATGATAAAATTTAATTTTTGAATTAGACACAGTAAGAGATTAACAACAACAATAATAAAAAAGAACAATTATAACAATATACTGAAATAAAAGTTACATGAATGTGGTCTCTCAGAATATCTTATTGTACCGTAATTGGCCTTCTTGTGATGATGTGGGATGATAAAATGCCTACGTGTTGAGACAGAAGTGAGGTGAATGACATCAGTATTGTGACATAGCATTAGGCTACTAATATATATATATTTTTTAGATTTTATTTATTTGACAGAGAAAGCACAAGCGGGGTCGGGGGTGGCAGAGGGAAAGGGAGAAGTAGGCTCTCCACTGACCAGGAGCCCAATTCAGGACTTGATCCCAGGATCCTAGGATCATGACCTGAGCCAAAGGCAGACGCTTAACCAACTGAGCCACCCAGGTGCCCCTGGTTACTATTATTGACCTTCTGACGATACATCAGAAGGAGGATCATCTGCTGTTGGACCTCTGTTGATCATGAGTAACTGAAACTGCAGAAATTGAAACCACAGATGAGGGGAGACTACCGTGTTTTCTTCTTTGAATATTCCCATTTAACTGAGGAGGTACCATCTTGTTCCCAGAATAAACATCATTTTAGTTTCAACAGGATTCAGGAAGCAGTTCTTACAATGAGGTTTCTAAAATAAGAAATTAATTTGGTGGCAGAGAAGTTTGATTAATAAAGTTTATTTTAAAAGCCCAATACTGGGGCGCCTGGGTGGCTCAGTCGGTTAAGCAGACTACTCTTGATTTCAGCTCAGGTCATTGTCTCAGGGTCCTGAGATCGAGCCTGTGCTGGGCTCTGCACTGGGTGTGGATCCTGCTTGGGATTCTCTTTCTCCCTCTGCCCCACCCTGCCCCCCTAAAATTAAATGAAATAAAATAAAAGCACAATACTATCTTAAACCAGAAGAAAGGAAAATGTATTTATTGAACAAAATTACTTTGGTGGTTCATTTTTTTTTTTTAATTCCTAGTAACTCAAAGTATTGTCTGTGTTCTTTTAGTTACCTCACAGCCATATGATAAAGAGGGGGAAATGTAAACGAAAGAAATACGGTTTCATACTTTAGCGCATAATTTGAGGAAAATATGACTTGTTCCCCCATGACGTTATAAAGTATTGAGGAGACTGCATGGGAATGAAGGGAGAAAGAAAGGAAAATTTATTGTTTTAAAAGTAATTATGTGCTTTGAGTGGCCTAAGGAGTCACTGTTATTTGTATTGCAAGAGAGGAAGCCATCCTCTCTGATACCATGGAGATCTCATTGACTAGAGCTGTAGCCCCTAGTGCTTATAAAGATTTCCTTTCAGCCTAGACTTAATCCTTGTAAGCTCCTAGGTACAAGGATAAATGTTGATTTTCAAGGTAGCATTTTACTAATTTGAATTTGTTTGAAAAATGATTCATTTTCTTCCTTATTCTTAAATATTGCTGTGTACATCATGTTTCTAGGGAGGTGAGCACGTGAAACAATATGAAGAGGAGAAAATAGCCTTTTAAGGAAATTGGCCCACAGAAAGGATGGCCTTCTTGGACAATCCAACTATCATTCTAGCTCATATTCGACAGTCACATGTGACCAGTGATGACACAGGAATGTGTGAGATGGTTCTCATTGATCATGATGTTGACCTAGAGAAGATTCATCCTCCTTCAATGCCTGGAGACAGTGGGTCAGAAATTCAGGGAAGCAATGGTGAGACTCAGGGCTATGTATATGCCCAGTCAGTCGATATTACCTCAAGTTGGGACTTTGGTATTAGAAGACGCTCAAATACAGGTAAACATTGCCTTTTAGTCATGTCTTCTGAACTTTAAATCAGTCAGTAATCTTACAGAATAATGCGTAATGTTGGAATAGGTTTAATGGGGAAAGTTTCTGTGTATTAACAGGAACATGCATGTATTACAGTAAGAGTGAGTCTAAACAACATCTCCCTCTCCGTGACTGAATGGAGAGCGCCTCTGGAATGATGCTATCAGAAGGAAATAGAAGACGAATAGATGAAAAAGGTGGCTATGAAAGGCATGTTGGATGTTCTGTTTCTAAAAAGTCCTCATGTAGAAAGGGAAGTAGACTTATTTTGAGTATCTTCACAGAGCAACGTTAGTCCCAGTGGGTAGACTACCTGGGTGGCAGGTTTCAGGTTGACATAATAAAGAACCTTTAATACAGAGAGCTGACCAGCCAAGGAGTGCTGGTGCTGGAGCCATTTCTTGGCCCTGGAGGGATTGTGCGGGGGGCTAGGAGGGATTGGAGGTAAATAGCTGAATATTTGTTAGAGCTGCTTTTAATAGGAATTCCTCCATTGGGTGTGAGACTAGAAAAGATGCCCCTGTTTTTGATATATTATCTTTATTTTCTTAAGTTGATCTCTACCCTTTGATCTTTGTGGCTTGAAAAAGCTAAACTTTGGTACGTACATATTCAGTCATTAGCTTTTAAAAGCTTATCATTGCCCATTTTCCAGCTTATGTGTTTTGGAAACCTTTCAAGGGGAATGGGATGAACCAAGGCCTTTACTTAGATAAATTATTTAGAATATGTAATGTAGTTCTAATATGACAGGGTGTGCTAGGAGGTGGTTTTTTTTGGGGGGTAATCAGAAAATATCTCTACTAATCTAGTAGCAGTAACCTGCTAACTCCCAGGAAAAGTGACGATAGGAGATGTGGTAGAACATTGAAAATATTTGCATGTTTATTTTTGTGGTCCAAAGGTAAAATGCACATAAAGGAGTACTGCAGGATACAATATACAGTGCAAGGCATGTTAAGGTTTTGGTTCAGAATTCAGCATTTTGTGACATCTCCAAAGAATAATTTACTCTCATGATGAAAATAATTAATAGCATTTCCCAGTATCTCAAGGAACTTTTATCAAAATAGGATTTGAGTGAAGGTTTGAATATAATTTAGAACCATTGATTCTCAGTTCTCTAGTTGAAACTGACTTCCTTGCAAGTTATTGAGATGATATCTTATATGACAGGTTGAATGGATTTCAGTAGGAGAATGCTGCTAAATTGAGAGCTTTATGATTATATTACTTTGGCTGTACCCTTCACATTTATTAATTGCAATTGAATGTATTTTCCTTCAATGGAATTTGGTTAGATATAGTGGCATTGTCAGAATGCTTTTGCCGGCACAGTTTACATTTATGGCAAGATTAGTTTCAGTGTTTCCCTACCACGATGCTAAGGCAAGCATGTATGATTTCCTACCTTGCAAGAGGTTGAAAGAGAAATTTACTTATTTATTTTTTGTTAGCATTGTGCCAGGAAAGGAAGTTGAAGATTAGCCAGAGGAAACTAATCTCAAGAAATGGCATCAATTAGGACTTTCTTTTCCATTGTGGTTTCCATATGCAGTAGTTGTTAATGTATGCTGAACAATATTTCTTTTTTTTTGAACAATATTTCTTTAAAAGATCAGTTCATTGATTTTTGAAGGTTGATCAGCCAGTGGTAATATAATCTCATAAATGCATGATTTTAGGTGATGCTTTTTTATTGTTGTTGGAATTTCTTAAGATAGCACTTAGATGCTAATAATTACAGTTGTGGGGCGTCCTAGTGACCAAAGAATTTGCTTTTTAATCCTTTCAGCATATCTTAAAATTTTGTATAAGAAAAATTATTCTTTTTAAGATTTGACTAATGTTACAAAGATACAAATCATTTATTTTACTACCTATAAACTGTTTCAGCCCACTGAAGAAAAGCTATGCTAATTTATATAGCTTTGACATTTTATAATTTTCATGATTTTTAGATAAAGGATTTTATATTTAAAACTTTAATAGTCTAGTCTGAGTTCATTTATCTTTAATTTTTGAAACGGGTAGAGTAATTCATAACAGTAATTTTATTCCTGTAATGTAATATTCACTTCAGTTCATTTGTGCATTAAAATTCCTTTAAGACCGTTATTAATGATTTATATAATGAAATGTCATATTAATCACAGAAGTTTTCACATTTTATTATTCTCTTCCATGTTAATACTATCTTTATGATCTCTATTAATGTTTTATATCCTCTAATTTCAATTATAAATCAAGAATATTTTCATGTTTTTGTTGGTATTTGCTTTTCAGGGGTGCCACCTTTAAAATTTTATGACTTTTTCCCTACATATGCAATATAAAACATCTTTATTCATATAAAGGTAGTTAATTATGTCTTTGTTTATAGTAAACTTTCATTGACAAACTTATAGTTATAATATTTCTTTTCAAGCTCAAAGATTAGAACGACTCCGAAAAGAGAGACAAAACCAGATCAAATGCAAAAATATTCAGTGGAAAGAAAGAAATTCTAAGCAATCAGGTAAATGGAAATAATTTTAATTGTTAATTTGAGATTTATATATTTAGTTTATATTATTAAATAAGAGCTTTTATTATTTAATTCATCTTTTTAAATCCTCTGAGCAGATACCTCTTGTGTTTTGAGCTTTGAAGCTTTCACTTGGGTGCCTTGGCCCTCTGAAGCTGTGTGTTCTTTAGGTCTTATGTTTTTGGTCACTCTTCATTCTCGGTCACAGGAATTGCTGTGTGCAGAGCACACTTTGTACAAACTCTCATGCCAGTACCTTGTTCTTAGGGTCAAGGAATACCTATGGTTTGGATGGGCCTCTGGGTTATAGATTCCTCCGGGCAGTTCCAACCTAGACTTTCCCTTGCCTCATTACTGGCCGCAGTAACAATCTATTTTGCATATATGCTAATTCTTTTCCTTTAGCTTAACAAGCATTATGTTGCTGCTATTATTAGCATTTGTAGTTTGTGTTCACATGGTATGTGTAGTATAAAGCTGGCCATATTACATATTTTCAAATCTTCAATCTCAGCAAGAAGAGAAAACTTTAAAAAATATCAAAATAAAATGCTATTGAAGTATTTTCTAATGTTTATCTCATGTGTCCTAGATTTTCTCTTTTTTCCTCCTTTGAAAGAAATGTCTGCACTCTGTCCTCTATGTCTACCAGCACCTACTACCACCCTGGCACATAATAGATGTCCAATTAATTTTTGTTGACTGACTCCATTGCTACATAATACTTATAAAACTAACAATATTAATGATTATTATATTAACCTCAGCACCTATGTAGTGCTGTTCTAAGCACTTTATACACATTACCTCCAATGCAGTGATCTTGTAAGATATGGCTGTTGCTGTGGTTAACAGATGAGACAGAGACTCAGAGCTTTAGCTTGCTAAAGTGATAAGCCCAGAAAGTGATAGTGCCGGAGAGCCATATTTTGTATCTAGCTCTGTCTGCAACTAAAGGCCAATCTCTCTCTGCTAAAGAAACTATATAAAATGGTTATTGCTTTCTCCTGCTGTGGTTGTAAACCCAGGTGTGCTCAGTGGGTATGATTTTCTTAATGATTGCTTCTAAATGACAGCTGTGTAGAACCAAAAACCTCATTCACTTCTTTCTTACGTCTCATTTCTATGTCTTCCTGTAGTTCTCCTTGAATATCTATTTCGTTTTGCTCTTGATACTTTAAAAATCTCTCTAGGCTGGCCTTTTCTGTTGATCCAGTTAATACTTCTCTTTTGTATTTATCACAAACTGAAAACCTTTATATTTATCTTGTCCACTTTCCTCAAAATTTTCATGTATCTAACGCCTTTTCTTTTTTTTTTTTAAAGATTTTATTTATTTATTCATGAGAGACAGAGGGAGAGAGAGAGAGAAGCAGAGGGAGAAGCAGGCTCCTGGCTGAG